GCTGTAACCTGGGAGGTGGAGGTTGCAGTGAGCCAAGATCCCGCCACTGTACTCCAGCCTGGGGGACAAGAGCGAGACTTTGTCTCAAAAAAAAAAATAAAAATAAAAAACTCCCACTTGACAGCTCCCTCTCATTTGGATAACCAGAACAGCACATCAAAGAGCCAGGAACATTCTTCCTTGGCCTTAAGCAGTTGATGATCAAATATTACTGAAAACTCAGAAGGCGTTCTACACTGAGATTTGGTCAGAAGTTCCTCACCATTTCCTGCGTACACTTCAGTTCCTATTCTGGAACACAAATATAATCAATAAGCTCCTATTGGATCCTGGGCAAATGTAAGGTGTTCTTGTCTCTTGGCACCAGATGTAGAACATGGGTTTGTCCCTGATGCTTGGGGATTTTGCTGTGTAGTGGAGCCTTTGTTGTTTTGTTTCCCAAAGCATCCCAGAACAGGTGGCTGGTTTTGGACCCCAGTCATAGGCACTTACTCACTCTCCTTCCCATCAGCTTTCCTGAACACTGAACCCATCAGGCTCTAAGGTGATGATTTTCTCTTTCTTTTCTTTTTTTCTTTTTTCTTTTTTTTTTTTTTTTTTTTTTTGAGACAAAGTCTCACTCTGTTGCCCAGGCTGGAGTGCAATGGTGCAATCTCGGCTCACTGCAACCTCCACCTCCCGGGTTGAAGTAATTCTCCTGCCCCAGGCTCCCAAGTAGCTGGAATTACAGGTGCCCACCAACACTCCCGGCTAATTTTTGTATTTTTAGTAGAGACGGGGTTTCACCATGTTGGCCAGGCTGGTCTCAAACTCCTTACCTCAGGTGATCCGCCCGACTCAGCCTCCCAAAGTGCTGGATTACAGGCATGAGCCACCGTGCCCGGCCTCTAAGGTGATTTTCTAGATGACTTGGGTGATTCATGTATGTTGAGAATGTCACAGGCTAATCCATGGATCCTCTCCAAGGCAGAGGGATAGATATTATTTGAGAAGGCCCCACTGGGCTTAGGCCAACGAAAGAGTCTCCAGCAAGATACAGGATGTGGATATCACTGAGGCTTAGGAAGCAGGAACTTGCCAAATTTGACTCCAGGTTCCAGAACTGAATCCTACATGCTTGCTCAGGTACCCTCCAGGCAAACTGAAAACACAGTAAACATCAAGCCTTGAGTGACACAAGTATCTGGCTTTGTTACAATCTGCCAGATTCCCCCATCTTCTGTTGACAAGCAGTTTACCATGTACTGCAGTATAAACTTGGGCCCAGGGAGACTGGCTCCGATTTACTCTGTTATGGAGTTTGTTATTTCAGCCTTCATTCTCACATGATTTCTGTGGATAATTGAGTTACTGGGGAAATAGCAGTCAGTGACCTCTCCCAGAATGCCAGATTTTGTGTGCTTCTGGTTGGGCAGGTTGCTGTCATCTGCCTGAGCCTGTTGGAGATAGTATTTCAAGCACTCTTCTTGGAATAGGGATCATTGGCATGGCATCATCCACATGCTTCAGAGCCCCTTATCTAGAGGCTCACAGGATCTGAAGGAGCAGGGAGTGATGGTCAAATCCTCCATCCAATACCCTTAAGTCAGGAGTTCGAGACCAACCTGGCCAACATGGCAAAGCACTGTCTCTACTAAAAATACAAAAATTAGCCAGGTGTGCTGACAGGCGCCTGTAATCCCAGCTACTCGGAAGGCTGAGACAGGAGAATAACTTGAACCTGGGAGATCTCAGTGAGGCTAGGTCTCAGTGAGCCGAGATCGTGCCATTGCACTCCAGCCTGAGTGACAAGAGTGAAACTCTGACTCAAAAAAAAAAAAAAATCAAAAACAAAATCCTCCATCCAGCTCTTTCAGGCCTTTGTTTCTAATCCAGGAAATCGGTACATGTTGAAAAAATCCGCTCTACTATATCCAAATGCAGGCTTTGCCTGCTGATTAGGGCAGACAAAGTTTGATACATTTTAGTACATGATGCCTTGTCAAAGGCTGAAGCCAAGTCCACTATTGCCTAAATCAAAGAAAAGGAAAAGAGAATACAGGGGAGGGAGAGAGGAGGGAGGGAGGACTAACAGAAGGACAGAGTGATTTCTGCCGGAGGGTCCCAAGGCTTGGGCAGTTGGATTGGAGCTTGGTCAACAGAGTTGGAGTTTGGGGATTTTTTGTTTTTTAGAGATGGAGTCTCGTTCTATCCCCCAGGCTGGAGTGCAGTGGGGTAATCACAGCTCACAGCAGCCTTGACTCCTAGGCTCAAATGGTCCTCCAGCCTCAGCCATCTGAGTAGCTGGGACTACAGGCATGCACCACCACAACTGGCTAATTTATTTTGTTTTAAAAATAAAAGGAGACAGGGCCTTGCTACATTGCCCAGGTTGGTCTCAAACTTCTGACCTCATGTGATCCTCCCGCCTCAGCCTCCCAAAGTGCTGGGATTACACGCGTGAGCCACCATGCCCGGCCAAGTTTTTAAGACTCAAAGGAGCAGCTTCAATTTCTGAATGGGCCACACAAAGGAGAATCTGGTTTCCTTGTCTGGAGGAGCAAGGGTTCCTTTGTTCATCCTCATTCAGGCTTTGTCTAATTCATTCTCATTTCCTCATCTGGAACCTGGGGCTACAAAGGACTTGTGACTAGGGCCTGGGAGGAATAACTAAGTACTTTACATACTTAATTGTACCAGAGGTAAATTAATAATACACTTGAAGAGGATGAGATGAGCTCTTTGCAGAAGCTAGGTACAGAAGGACTTGAGAAAGGCAGCGGTGCGGTCTTGTGACTGCTTGAGTCTATTTGAATTCAGCCTCTGCCTGTAGACTGCAAGGACTGCCAGAGAGCTCTCTGGGAGCTCTGGGAGCCTCCTTCAACATGGCTGCTCGCAAAGTTGATTCCAGGTGCTGTGAATGAGCTTTTAACTGGGGAGTCAAAAATACTGATCCAAGTGTGGGTTTCCAATACGTAGGAGCTCCACAATTACCCACCTGCAAAGATCTCTTCCAAAAGCCTAGGGCAGAAGACAGAGCCTTCCAAGGAACCCAAGGATTCAGGGAAGAGAGATGAAATAAGGCCGCCGGATCAGTCTAAAATGGAAGCAGAGTAGGGGGGAATATAGGACATCTCTGTGGGATAGCCAGCAGGTGGGCAGGAAGGTAGTCTCCATGGCAACAAGTCTCCACAGCAGCAAATCCCAGCAGGTGGGTGGGAAGGTAGTCTCCATGGTGACATGTCTCCTCAGCAGCAAATCCCAATGGGGGGGCGGGAAGACCTGTTTCTGTGGTAACGTACTGCACTGACTTCCCCATTTCTCCATCAGATGAAAAAGATGGTCTGACCCGGTGGTTTCTCAACTTTAGCAGGTATCAGCATCACCTGGAGAGCTTGTTAAAAACACAGATTGCTGCCCCCCCCCCAGAGTTTCTGATCCATTTGGCCTCCAAGGAAGGGAAATGAGGACCTGCCCCGAAAATGAGGGGAAGGGCACCATTAAGGCCCTGGAAAGAAGTGAAGAGGGGCTGATTTATACAGGAAGGGCAAGGAGAGCTTAGGGATTGTTGCCTCTTGGGATCATCTACACTTCCTTTGGAGAGAGAAGAAAAGGGAAAGAGCAGTAACTATAGCGCTACAATGTGGCGAGCATGTTATAGATGCTTATGTTCCTTTTATCGTTGTTACAAGCCTGTGAGGTATTTTTATCCCCATTTTACAGAAAAGGAAACTGTGGCCCAGAGATTTTAAATAAAGTGTCCAAAGCTACGTGGCTAAGATGTGATACAGGCAGGATTCAAATCAAGGGCTGACTCCAAGATTGCTGCTCTTTGCATTCTATCTTGCCAGACGTTAGGGTAAGGTCCCCAGTAGTACATCAGGGCAGAGAATGCTGAGTTCTGGACATTTGTAGTTTCTGCAGTTTGTCTCCCACCTAGAGGCATCCACTTCAAATGGTCTGCAGACCCCTCCTTCCAAACTGGATAACAGGTGGGAGGCAAGGAGCCAACCTCTCCTCTGTTGACCTTGCAGAAAGGAGCAGTGGTTTAAGTTAGTCAGGTGGGAAGAACTACGTTGTGTGCTCATTCTCTATCCCCACCTCCCCTGATGACCGTACCTGCCATCATCACCCAAATCGTCCATCCCTCTGCCTTCACTGCCCTCATGCCCTTTGTCAAATCCAGGTTTCCTGAGTACTGGAGATCAGGCTGCCAAGGGCAACTATGGGCTCCTTGACCAGATCCAGGCCCTCCGCTGGGTGAGCGAGAATATTGCCTTCTTTGGGGGAGACCCCCGCCGGATCACCGTCTTTGGCTCAGGCATTGGAGCATCCTGCGTCAGCCTCCTCACGTTGTCACATCACTCTGAGGGTGAGTAACTCATGGGGCAAAACATGAACTAGCCAAGTGCCAGCTGCCCAATGTGCCCCATCCATGCCCCAAGGCATCTAAGGGAATCAGCCAGTTCTCTTCTACCAGCTTGGTATCCCTTTGGCAAGAAGTGGAAGAGAAATATTTCTCTGAGAGAAGTAGTACTTCTCTTGAAGTGGGAGAGGGAAGAAAAAGAATTTCATTTATGTCCCAGGAAAGTAGGATTCTCCTTCTGATGTGGGAATCTTATTTGGGGCAGTGGAAATAGAACAATTGTCCCCTCAGAGGACAATAGTTTGGCAGGGGTTGTGGGGGATCTTTCAGTATGGGAAGGACATGTTACTTCACAGTAGAGATATAGGGTGGAAATTGATTTCTAGGTGTAAGAAACACTCATTCTCTGCCTTTCTCTCTGAAGAGCAAGTCTGTACAAAAGGGGAAATGTCCTTGAGGGGAAGTGGGTCTGAAATGAGAGTCCCTTACCCATGAGGTGGGCTCCTTCCACGGGACGATGGTTTATTATCGCACTCCGGACCTCCTCCTGGGCTGTGCATGCCACCAGGGAGATTCGCGGTCTTGGCCTCTCTCCTTGTGGTGGGTCCCTTTGCCAGTGACCGACCCTTCCAAGAGAGCAGAATAGGTCCTTTTCGCTCGGCAGGAAATGTTCTCTCCACCTCTGGATGACAGGGAACATTCTATCTCTGAGAGGCAAAGCTGAGCTTCTCATGAAGACAAGATCTTCCTGAAATAGTTGCCCTTTTCTGAAGTAAGGAAATCTGTGAGCAAGGACGCTTTTTTTCTTTTTTCATTGAACACTAACCCTCTAAGTTAGTGACATTCTCACACGAAGACTTTCCATCTCTCTGAAGAAGTTCTGTCTCTCTGAGAGAGAAGAACTACCTTCTTTGACCTAGAAATTCTGTCTTTGCCCCTCCAGGGACTACCCTGGTGAGGGAAGACTTAGATAGGATCTGCATCTCTAAAGAGGAGAATGTGTTCCTAGGTGACCATAGTGGGAACCAGAATTTCCCCTTTTTCCCCAAAGGAGGGTGAAATGACATGCTGTAAGTGTGCCTCGGTCCGAAAAGACGTTCAGTGCCTCCTCTGACTGGGGACTCCCCCCACAGGAGAAGAAAGCTTTTCCCGGACTGGTGCTATGATTTGTCTCATAGCGGGGCCTGTGTCTCTGGAGGTTTGACTTCTTTTTTTTTTTTTTGAGACAAGGTCTCACTCTGTCACCCAGGCCGTAGTGCAGTGGTGCAATCATAGCTCACTGCAACCCCTGCCTCCCAGGCTCAAGTGATACTCCTGCCTCAGCCTCCAGAGTAGCTGGGGACTACAGGTGCATGCCACCATGCCAAGCTAATTTTGGGCAGAAATTTTTTTTTGTAGAGATGGGGTTTCGCCATGTTGCCCATGCTAGTCTCGAACTCCTAAGCTCAAGCGATCCACCTACCTCTGCCTCTCAAAGTGTTGGGATTACAGGCGTGAGCCACTGTGCCTGGCCGAGGTTTGACTTCTTTAAAGATCTGTTCTCTGTTTTTCTGTAATTGATGCGTGGATAATAATCTTTGGAAAAATGAGACTCGTTTAAGTAGTAATGTATCATTTTCTTTCCCTCTCTTTCCACTCATACAAACTGCCACTGATGCAAACTCCCTTTCTCTTAAAGGAATGAAGTTGTGTGCCTGAGGGACAAATTTTCCCTTGGGAATGTTGGGGCCAGGGAGAGAATTATACCATTTTTTTTTTTCTAGAGAAGGAAAAATTATCTTCTTTTTGAGTTTGGGGGACTGGCTCCCTCTCAGCTAGGGGAAAATCTGAATTTGAAGTATCAGTAGCTTCAGATAAAAAGAAAGTCTTGGCTAGGCACAGTGGCTCATGTCTGTAATCCCAGCACTTTGGAAGGCCGAGGCAAGAGGATCACCTGAGGTCAGGAGTTCGAGACCAGCCTGACCAACATGGTGAAACCCTGTCTCCACTAAAAATACAAAATTAGCTTGGCGGGGTGGTGCATGCCTGTAATCTCAGCTACTGGGGAGGCTGAGGCAGGAGAATCACTTGAACCTGGGAGGCAGAGGTTGCGGTAAGCCGAGATTGCACCACTGCACTCCAGACTGGGCACCACTGCACTCCAGACTGGGCAACAAGAGCAAAACTGTGTCTCAGAAAAAAAAAAAAAGGAAAATCTTAGTTAGAGACCACAGATGGGGAGCACAGGTTCCCTGGAGACTTTCAGACCCCAAGGCCTTTGCCCTTGTGCTCCTTCCCCAAACCCTCAGAATGTGGGGCTCTTGCCTGCCTGCATTTCTCATCTCTCATGAAAAAGACTCCTTTGTGGTGCAAGCGCCAGCTCCCTGGTGGTGTGCTGGCACAGAGCTGGGCCCAGCTGGGCAGGAAGCAAGAAGGGAAGACAAGGAGAGATAAAGAGAGGCGGCATAAGGAGGCTGATGTCTGGGATTTAAGGGGTTAATTCTTTCTGACATTGCCTTAACCCCTAAGTTACCAGCCATGGTACCAGGACAGGGAAGGGATGGAGGAAGCAGTCAGGCAAGGGGCTCAGCAACTCCTCCTTTGGCCCCACATCATCCCCTGCCAAAAGAGTTGTTCCCCCTTTCTAGCCCATTGAAACCGTGAGGCAGCCTCAATGGCAGAGGAATGAGGGGACTTATGGCTGTGGATGACATGATAGATCTGACCTGGTGCTGTCTGTCTTCTGTAGGACTTTTCCAGAGAGCCATCATCCAAAGTGGGTCTGCTCTGTCCAGCTGGGCTGTGAACTACCAACCAGTGAAGTACACCAGCCTGCTGGCAGACAAAGTGGGCTGTAATGTGCTAGACACCGTGGATATGGTGGACTGTCTTCGGCAAAAGAGTGCCAAGGAGCTGGTAGAGCAGGACATCCAGCCAGCCCGCTACCACGTGGCCTTTGGCCCTGTGATTGATGGTGATGTCATTCCTGATGACCCTGAGATCCTCATGGAGCAGGGCGAGTTCCTCAACTATGACATCATGCTAGGTGTCAACCAGGGCGAGGGTCTCAAGTTTGTGGAAGGGGTGGTGGACCCTGAGGATGGTGTCTCTGGCACTGACTTTGACTATTCTGTCTCCAATTTTGTGGACAATCTATATGGCTATCCTGAGGGTAAGGATACCCTTCGAGAGACCATCAAGTTCATGTATACAGACTGGGCAGACCGTGACAACCCTGAGACCCGCCGTAAAACACTGGTGGCACTCTTCACTGACCACCAGTGGGTGGAGCCCTCAGTGGTGACAGCCGATCTGCACGCCCGCTACGGCTCACCTACCTACTTCTACGCCTTCTATCATCACTGCCAGAGCCTCATGAAGCCTGCTTGGTCAGATGCAGCTCATGGGGATGAAGTACCCTATGTTTTTGGGGTTCCTATGGTAGGCCCCACTGACCTTTTCCCCTGCAACTTCTCCAAGAATGATGTTATGCTCAGTGCTGTCGTCATGACCTATTGGACCAACTTTGCCAAGACTGGGTAAGGAGAAAACAGGGGTTTTTTCTTCTTTGGGACCCCAGCATGCCCTCCCCTCTGCTCCTCTAGCTAAACCTCTTCCATCATCTCCCTTCTTAAGATATTCCCAAAATCTTACTTGGTACCACTTCACTCATCCTCCTATCTCCCCTTCCTGAGTCTCTCATGCCATTTTTCCTTCCTTCAAAAATGTTGTTGAGGCTCAAAACTCAGTTAGCATCGGGACTGGGAAGAAATGAGAGTTACTGGAAGAATTATGGGATTTAGCCAAGCCCAGTGGCTCACAGCTGATATGCTCAAGGCAGATCACTTGAGCTTAGGAGTTTAAGACGAGCCAGCACAACATAGAAAGACTCTCTCTAAAAGAAAAAGCATTAGCTGGGCATGGTGGTGGGTGCCTGTAGTCCCAGCTACTTGGGAGGCTGCAGTGGGAGGATCACTTGAGCCCTGGCGATTGGGGCTACAGTGAGCTGTGATCACGCCACTGCACTCAAGCCTGGGTGACAGAGCGAGACCTTATCTCAAAACAAAAAACTATGGGATTCAAGGTTAGCTGGTCAGAGGCCATGCGAAGTAGGAATGCAGTACATTCAGAAAGAGCCTTCAGGTTCAGCAACTTCTGCTTGCTTAATAAAAAAGAAAGGGCCTTTGAGCACTCCTGGCAAAACTGGGCAGCTGAAAAGATTGATTATGCTCAGTAACATGTGCAAAGAAAAAGCGTCTATGGCCTTAATCTTAAAGGATGAGCACCAGGAAGGAGGAGATAGGAGTTCAAACCTTGGGGAAGAAGCAGGAGTGGACAGAGCAGGGGGACCCTGGAAAAGATGGAAATGGTGGGAAGTTCTGAACTGGGAAAGAGGTTTAGGGGTGGCTGTGAGAGGAAAAATGCTGGACCTTTTCCTCATCCAGATAGAGTGGTGACCCCAGATTTCCATGTGGTATTTCAGGGATCCCAACAAGCCGGTCCCCCAGGACACCAAGTTCATTCACACCAAGGCCAACCGCTTTGAGGAAGTGGCCTGGTCCAAATACAATCCCCGAGACCAGCTCTACCTTCACATCGGGCTGAAACCAAGGGTCCGAGATCATTACCGGGCCACTAAGGTGGCCTTTTGGAAACATCTGGTGCCCCACCTATACAACCTGCATGACATGTTCCACTATACGTCCACCACCACCAAAGTGCCGCCTCCGGATACCACCCACAGCTCCCACATCACCCGCAGGCCCAATGGCAAGACCTGGAGCACCAAGCGGCCAGCCATCTCACCTGCCTACAGCAACGAGAACGCCCAGGGGTCCTGGAATGGGGACCAGGATGCAGGGCCACTCCTGGTGGAGAACCCTCGTGACTACTCCACTGAATTAAGTGTCACCATCGCCGTGGGGGCCTCCCTCCTGTTCCTTAACGTTCTGGCCTTTGCTGCCCTCTACTACCGTAAGGACAAACGGCGCCAGGAGCCCCTGCGGCAGCCTAGCCCTCAGCGGGGAGCCGGGGCCCCTGAATTGGGAGCTGCTCCAGAGGAGGAGCTGGCAGCATTACAGCTGGGCCCTGCCCACCACGAGTGTGAGGCCGGTACCCCCCATGACACACTGCACCTCACTGCATTGCCCGACTACACCCTGACCCTGCGGCGGTCCCCAGATGACATCCCACTCATGACCCCCAACACCATCACTATGATCCCCAACTCCCTGGTAGGGCTGCAGACATTGCACCCCTATAACACCTTTGCCGCAGGGTTCAACAGTACCGGGCTGCCCCACTCACACTCCACTACCCGGGTATAGCTCCAGCTCAGAGCACAGCCTGTCTCCCGGCTCCCTCCCTCCCAGATCCAGGAACACATGCACACACAGACACACACACACAGACACACACACACACACATATAGATGTATACGCACGCACCCACACCCTACAGCAGACCCACCTGCACAAACATAGACAGATATGGACATGCACCCGCATGTACAAAAACACAGATACAGAAGTAAACCTGAACAAACCCTTCAAATGGGGACGCAGATGAGTCCTTGGTAAACTGAGGACCCATGAAACAGCAGCTGAAGCCAGCTCCCCGAGCCTGACCACAGACACTCCCGGGGGGCCTGAAAGCAACAGCTGGACACCCCCTTGGTGCTCGCCTTCGGCCTCTCTTGGAACTGCACCACCGACCAACTCCAGACTT